TTTCCAGAGAGGAGTCGTGCAGGTGATGACAAAAGTGAGTGCAGGCCCTGCCTTACAGGGCAGCTGCTCTGTGGAGAAAAAGGAGGATCTCACCAAAGACGTGGAACCAAGGAGAGGGAGCGAGGGAGGGAGATGCACAGTGGTTTTGTTCCACCCAAGGCTGGTGGGCTTTTGATGGAAACCGTAATACAGTTTCAAGAGCTCCTGTTCAAGTCAAATCAAAGTAAACCTGGAGATTTCTTCTGACAACCAATAACTCAGGGAAGGCCTGATTAAGAGAGGTTCCCTTACCTCTGGTGGGGCTGGGGAGCTGGGCATTGCAGAATACCATCAGGCTTTGATAGAAGGGTTTTCCCATAGGGAAAGAACCTCTGCCTGGCTATTTTGAAGGTTAGAGTCTTTTACGGCACATACAACAGTCCAACACAGTGTCTGCCTCTCCAAACACATTTGCGGGGTTGAAAATCAACTGAATTCTGGTAACTACATGCAAGTTTATTTTTGTTTCAAGTCATGCCTCAGCACAGTCCGAGAAGCCAGGTTTATCCAAAGATGGCCATCTTTAGAACCACCCAGACAGACAGCAGTGTCTGAGGCTGACTTGGAAGCTTTCCAACTTGAGTGGGCATGAATGACTGTTTCCTCTCTCTGACCTGTTTTTCTGGGTTACACCCAGATGCTCTTTCTTATAATGAAACACCACACAGGCACCTAGGCTGCTCAAAATGACCTATGATTTCCCAAATTCATGTTGGTTAAATGGTTTCTTCTAAGCCTGAATTCCCACAAGAAGACATGGATCTAGTAGCAAAGACCTGGGGTGGGGTCTCAATATATGACCAGCAGGCCAGGTGCGATGGTGCACACCTGTAATTCCAGCACTCGGGAGGCTGAGGCAGGAGAATCGCTGTGAGTTCAAGATCAGCCTGGGCTACATAGTGAGTTCCAGGTCAGTCTCAACTATATAGTGAGACCCTGTCTCAAAAAAACAAAACAAAACAAAAAAATATATATATGACCAGCAGTGAAGCAAACATGTTCCTGCCACTCCAAGCTGTAACCCTACCCTGTCCGTAAACCCTAAGTACACACACACACACACACACACACACACGGCACACACATGGCACACACACACATGCGCATGTGAAAACATTGTTTTAACGGTATTATCTGCACTCTCTCAACATGTACATTCTTTAACACAGAAATTCCACAAGTCTAAGTTCTCAAACACCCCATTAATCACAAAGATGAGCCCCTGTGCAAGGCACAAGGCTTTGAGCTAGCATCCCTTATGAAGCTCCCCAGTTTCCAGTTGACCAAACAGCTAAGGTTTAACAGAGACTTGGAGGTCAGCCACACACATTTAGTCTTGATATACTCCTTCTATTTCTGAGGAAATTTTGCTAAAATGCTTCAAGTGACCCTCTCTACATTGGTGCCTCTCTATTTTTCTCACATAAAACAAAAGACTTGTATATTTGGAGTGGACTGGGAAGACAGAAACAACAGAAGTATGCAAAGACTGACACTGCAAGCCATTTGAGATTATGGGCTATTTATTAGATATGAATATGTAATGGAGTAATCAGAGGCATTTCCACATTAGGTAAAGTTGCTTAAATTAAAATTGAAGGCTGGGGATTTAGCTCAGTGATTCGGTGGCCTGCCTTGCAAGCGCAAGGACCCGAGTTCAATCCCCAGTACCAAAAACAAAAAAACAAAAATTAAAAAAAAAATTGAAATGGAGTCATAAAATCTCATAATACCAATGCTGTTAACAAAGTCTATAAAAAGGGGGACTAAGGTTTTCTTGTTATTTGTGGTGCTCCATTTGGATTTTCATCAGGATTGATGACCCCTCCCCATGGTCAGTGGGCAGCTCAGACCACTGATGAAAAACTATACTCTCAGTCAGATTCCCTGCCTCAAACTTAACCTACACAGTTGTTGAAAGTTTTGCTGTCCATTTCACTGCCGAGCTGGAAACACTGAAGACCTCTGTGATCTCTCCCTTAATAACAGCATGTTGACTTCATAAGATTTCCCATCTTCAAAGCATCATCGCTTCTTAAAAAGTAACAAAGATGGAAAGGTGGAACTGAAGTTATGATGTAGATCAGGGTCTCTCAACTTTGGTAGTACTGGTGTTTGGGGCTGGATAACTCAGAGGAGGGATTGACTTGTGCATTGTTGGGTGTCTGGTCCCTTAGCCTCTAGCCCTCTACCCATTGGATGCCAGTAGCACCATTCCTCAAAGTTATGACAACCCCAAAGATGTCTCTAGACATTGCTAAATGTCCCTTGGGGTACAGTCAAACTCTCCACTCCCCAGTTGAGGACAACTCGAGCAGAAAGTGATAGTGATGAAGAGGAAAACAGAAAGAATGAACCTGACGCAGAGCCCATCAAAAAAATCCAAGTAAAGGCACCTGGCTGATTTCAGGGATACAAATCAAAAAGATATGGCAGAGTTGGGCTGCTGTTTGAGCCATAGCAATGACCTGTACTGACAGATGCATGCTCAGTTTGGGGTTACAGAAGTCTCGCATCACACACTTTTGGCTTTTAGCATCACTGGACAGACTTCTCTTGTTTTGCTTTTCCCACAGAATATTTATAGTCTCTCTCTACTGCTCAGACTATTTCTGTGCCTGCTGGATAGAAAAGTTATGAAGTCTTATTGTCACAGGCCTTGGATTCACCAGCTGCATTATAAATCCACCAGCTCCTACAGCCAAGTGCTGGAATTCTACATTCTTCCACCAAAGCCACATTCCTCAGCCACAGAGGTAATGAGTGACAAACAGTCCAGACACAGAGGAAGTTCTGAAGAGGCCAACCCGTGCCTTAGATTTTTAGTACTAAATCACTATGCAAAGGCTTTCATCCTTCTGTGAGATAAAGGGAAAAATCTATTCAATTCTGAAACTTTTAATCACTCCCCAAATCCAAAGTGGTTGAGGAAAACTAAAAACCCACGATTTACAGCTTACAAACAGATCATGTTGCAAAAATATATATGCTACCAAGTCTGTTATTTGAGAAACACAACTCATCCTTCCTTAGAGACAATGCGCTAAGCAACACTGACACCAATTTGCATTTATATAGGCATGTTTAATTACAAAGTACATTTGGGTCTATTATTTCAACCAGCCTATGAAACAGTCCTATGAAATATTCAGGGATTATGGTTCCTGTGCTCAAGGAAGAAAATGTTGTTTGCAGGAATACATGGGAAACAATTCGTACAAGACCATTTGGCCCCTACTATTCTTCATGGGGAAATGCCCTGCACATACAGGCAACAGTAAGTCTGTGGGAAAATGTTTCTGGTTTCAAGGGCGCAGTGGGTGGTGTATGCACTTGTTGCTGTTAGCTCAGTGACTCCGTCCTTCTCTCCTCCCTCCCTCCCCGCTACAATGTGGCTCCATAACGTCTAGAACTTCATCTGAGTCACTGCAAAAAATAAAGCACAAGGAAGGGCTCAGGCCACTACCCTATGGCCTCCTAACTATCCAGCAAGTCTGTTTTTTTTTTTTTTTTTTTTTAAGAGTAGGAAGAAATTGAGGGAAAGAAAGCTTCTGTCTAAGAGAGACAGAAGGGGGACCAGAAAGCGGGTTGCCCGCCCACTCCACTTCTCCAAGGTCTCAGTTCTTGATCAGCACTTGATGCCTGATGCATCCACTCACCCAAACCATGTTTCAGCCTCTCTTCCCCACACCTTGCAGCAAAGCTGCGCCGAGGCACCTGACACCTAAGTCAGGAGCTCCAGGAGGGTGGAGGGCAGACCCAGTGCTGGGAGGGAGTAGGAGAACCTGGGGCAGTGTTGGGAGAAACGTGAAGCCCCCAGAGAAGACAGAGAGAGGTGGCCTCCACCAGGAGTTCTCTTCACCTCTGACCTCAGTTTCCTGCCTCCCTACCACTGAATGAGGCCCTGGAGTAGGTGAGAAGGGACAAGTCTAAGGCAGCAGAATGCAGAGACAGGAAAATCCAGGAGGGAAACAACACCTGGAGGCATCAGGATAAAAGGAAAAGGAAGAAGAGGCTTGGCCACAGACTGGCGGTGGAAGGTCACTTACCTAGGCAAACAAATGCTCATTCATTGGTTCAAAGTAGACACGTGACAGAGGAGCTCTTTACCTATGCTTCTCAGACTGCACCAGGAAGGTTATACTTGCATGTTAAAAAACAAAGTTTCCACATTCCCCCACCCAGTCCAATTCCTAACTCAGGATTCCCAAACGTCTGATCAAGATGATCTAAAGATCGCCCTTTGGGAAAGACTGTCCTAGATCCTGCTTCCCTGGAGGCCACATCTCCTGTGGGTGGCACCTCTGTGTCTGTTCCCTGTTTGCTGTGGTAGGTGGTGGTTTTCTTCCAGGCAGACCGCGAGCTGCAGTTTATCTGTAGAGCGGCATGGCAGGCTTTAGTTACATTCTAGGAACAAGTCCCTTGCTTGTCTTGTGTGATTTAGATTTCTAACCAATGTCACTGGCCTGACAGGCTTAGAAGTAAGCCTCATTCCAACTCTGCAGCCGCCACTTCAAACATTGCTGGAATCGATCCCTGGCTAGACACATGCTTTGGAACAGCATCCATGGTGAGAAATATGTCCTCGTACATTGGATTTGATATGAGAAATGAGCCCCCCGCAAACAAAAACAATGAAACCACTTAGTACCAAGTGTGAAGATTGAAGTAAGTGATCCAGGAGAGAAATTACATTTGGGTCTGAGGCTCAGGGTGATTTTACATGGAAGGCCTGACTTCCTGGCAGGACCCAAGCAAAATCTCCTTGAGCACCCAAGAGGAGAAGGAAGAGCTCCAAGTCTTTCCCAGGAAGGGCAGCACGAAAGCTAGAACTCACTGGGGCAGTATATGTACTTCCGATGGGAACTCAGTCCTCCCCAACTTGGTGCAGGTCTCCATCAAACCCTGGAGAAGAGGGCTGGCCATAGTAAGGACTGGGCAGGCCCTGGTCAGGGACTCACCTTGCCAATGGTGCTTGTAGTCACACATGCGGGACAGGGCGATCATCATAGCGCAGTACAGGGGCAAGATGGCAGCACAGAGCCGCCAGCTCTTCCCGCGCCCAGTCTCCGTGAAGCAGTGCAGCTTGCCCGCCAAGTAGAATGTCGTAAAACCGAGTCCTGAAAAGGCAACTGCCGAAAAGAAACAGCAGGCATTACTCTAGCTGTTGGTAAGTGGCAGGCAAGGCAGGAGATAATGTGGGAGACATCCTGGATTTAGGCTCACAATAGACAGGTCGCTTCTGGCTCTCGGAGACTACAAGAACATCCTGGTCTCACCAGATGTATTTAATACCCTGACACCAGACTTAAAAATATGCTCCTGCCCATAAGATAAGACTACAAGAGCAAGAAGCAATTTAAATATGTTCAGGGACCATTTTCATCTTCAGAATTAAGGATTATTTTAATCTTACATCATTGCCTTTTCTCTTTTACTTTCATTTTTAGTTTTATGTTAGGATTCCCTATTTTTAATGTTCATTCAGAGATTTCTTTAACTGAAATACCGAATAGTTTCTCTGGTGTGAAAAACTATAATAGTACACAAGATCCTAATGAGATAATTAATAATGTGAAATAGGAAGTAAAGGGCTAAAGGTGTAGGGAAAGTGGGAAGGGTGGGGGAAAGGTAATAAGGGAGAGGAAAAAATATGAGAAATTGAAAAAATGGAAATAAGTGTTTGTAAATGGGGAGGGAAGGAGGGGGTGAAGGGAGGGCAGGAACAAAGGGGAAAAAATGAGAATCAAGACCTATTATGTAAAGGTACAGGATCCCAATAATGAATGTAACTGTATTGTAGACCTAGATTGTACCAATAAGATCAATGAACAGAATAAAAAATATATGCTCCTGCCCTTATCACATTTCTTTGACAGCTGACATGAGCCCAAAGGGCATGTGCTCTAACTGCTTTAGAGTAACAGGGAGTAACCCCACAGTCATTACAATACCATCGGATTGTGGTTCTGATTTCTCTGGTGTTAGTGTCCACCCTGAGCACTCCCCAAATTCTAGAAAGACAAAAGACCTGCCAACACTAAAGCTCACGCAGTTGCCATCTCTGGCTCTGCCCACACTTTGCTCTTGAGGGTGAACTTTTCTCACTGACAGCTGCTACCTCTAGCTCTGCCTGTATGAATCTCTCCCCAGCATACTTTAACCTCCAATCTAAAACAGACGGGGCTACTCTGAGTCGAACTCACTCTTGAATTTTCTCATCAGCCCACTCCCACTGTGAGAAGTATGCCTTCCTTTAATAAATCTCTACCTTTCTTACTCTGAGTCTGACCTACTCAATTCTTTGGGATACCATATATTATAGTATATAGACAAGAAAGCCACAAGAAGCTTTTGGTCCAGTCATTTGTGGCCACACAAATGAAACCTGAGGACATCACGTTATGTGAAATAAGCATTACACAGAAAGACAAATGCTGTGTAGTCTCACTATATGTAGAAGGTAAAAGCTAATCTCAAAGAAGACAGTAGAATAGTGATCGGTAGAAGCTAGGCAGAGTGGGGAGAGGGGACAGAGAGAGCTCTGATGACAGTATTAAAGTATAGTTAGCTAGGAGGAACTAGTTCAAATGTTCTGTACACCATCATAGACTACAGTTACATAGTCTGCAATAATTTATATATTTCAAAGTAATCAGAAGTAGCCAGTTTCCCAACATAAAGATATGATAAATGTTTGGAGAGATAGAAATGTAAATCACCCTGATTTGATCATTACACATTGTATATAGCTATTAAATTATCATACTGTCCCCAACAAATATATAAAAAAATACATAACAACTGAAAATGAATTAACACCAAAAAACCCCACAGTTGTAGCTCAGTGAGATGAAAGGTGGGTCTCTGAGGGTTTCGAACAATGGTTCTCCACCCTGGTTAGACACAGAGCCACCCTCAGTACTTGGCAAGCTTTAAAAGTCACTGGTAGCCACTTCCCATTGCCAGACACTGTGTCTGTGGTGCCTGGGAGTGATTCCTGGCACACATGCACATGCACATAGATGCATGTGGTACGCAGGTACTGCAACTCCCCAAGTAATTCTAAGGCTGCCACGAGTAAGCACAGAGGGTTTTATTGACATGAAGAGCTACAGGTCCTGACTATCTCTGGACGCCATCCTAGTCAAAACCTTCCTTTTGATTAGAAGATACACCGTGGGAGCAGTGTTCTTAGGTGACCCACCCCAACAGTGACTTGGTAAAATAGGTCTTCCGTATACTCTGTCAGTACACCAACAACTTTAAGAGACTGCCTAAATTCTGAGCCCCAGCTTGCACATTGTGCGGGAGCTCGGTACAAGTGCAGACTCTCAGGCCCACTGCAGACCTACTAAGTTAGATACTTGACAATATCCCATAAGGAATCAGTGTGCACACTGCAGTCTTATAAGCCCTGGCCTAAAACCATTCATCATCTGTATAAGAGATCTCTAAAAGTCCATCTTAAGGAAATAGTGTAAACTATGATGGAAATTTGGAAATTCTTCTGCTTAAAGTTATTTATGAATATGGAAAACGGAAAGTGATCAGTACAGAGGCATAAATAAGCTAACTGTGACATTTCCATTCAATAGGCTGTGATGCAACCATAAAAATTAAGATTATATAACAATATTCCCAATACTTAAGAAACAATGTCAAATGAAAGAACCAGGGCTCTGTAGTATAGACCAGTGTTGGCCAGACTATGGCACATGTGCTGTAGTGGGCTGTTTGTTATCACTGAAAGCTCTACAAGTTTTGCTATCACTGGCATAGACCATAGGGTCAAGATACTCATGGTTATGACACATAGTAATGAATGGCCTGCAGCTTTTTCAAATTGTGTCTGAAAGTAATATATCTTCTTAATGAGATCTCGGCAATGCACAGAAACATACCAAAGTAATACATTTTTAGCAACCAAAGGGAACAAGATTACAGTGGAGTCCTCCCTTTTCTAAATAGAATATTAAACCAGGTTTTCCCAGCTATAAAAATGAAGCAAAAGTAAGGAAATAGGAGTGTTTGATCAGCAAACAACAAAGGAGTACAGACATATATTTACTGAGTATGTATTGTGCTTAAAGTAAGAGCATGTGAAACCTTGCATTGCCCAACTCTGTTCTGGATGGTTTACTGAGACAGAGGGCATGAAGTGATTTAAGTGGTTTTCCAAAGTGACCCCATCTGGCCACTGTCCTAGCAAGTGTGATGGATTCCTAATTCTCATCCACATCCTCTTTTCTCTGTTCTTACATTCATTTGCATTCTCCCATGAGATATAAGTGGGAGCAGCAGGCTGGACATTCAGCTTTGATCTCTGTTGGCCTCATCCTAAGCTCTTAAAGGAGAAATAATAGGCTTTATTCAAATTTTACATCTTAGCAAGTCTACTCACCTAATTACACTAAGTGTGGGAGCAGAAAAGAACTGCCCTGGGCTTTGAGGGGTAATGGATGAAAGTCTCCAAGACTGGAATCAGAAGAGAAGCAGCCAGCCCTGGCTGTTGCCAAATCGGCATCTCTCAGGAAAACAAACAGACTTAAAAAAAAAAAAAAAAGCAATGAATTAAGCAGATTTTGAGTAGAAATTTGTATGTGTTCCCATAGAAAAAGAAACTAGGGACTTTAAGACAGAGGAGCCATTAACTCAAGCTAACTACACCACCTATACCTCTGGGGCCTTCAGGGAATGGAGATGAGCAAGGGATGCCTGGCTCAGGTGAGCACCCTAGCTTCCACCTGATCTTGGATGCCCCAGGAACTCTCATCTGGACAACTCTTGTACCACAGTCTTTGCCTCATTCTTTGGAGTATGGGTAAAAGATCTTTCCCTCATGGTCGGAACCAGTACTGCACTGCAGCCCCTCCAGAGTGTTAAGCCTTGCTTCTGTAAAGGAAGGATTTGCAGGCATTTTTAAAGGCTGACTACAACAGTCTAGAGGCTGCAGGCATCCACACCACAGCCAGTCTTCTTTTGGGTCTTGACCTGCTATTTGATCTTGGGACAATACTTCTAAGCATCATTGCATGCCCTTACTTTTCTAGGTGACAGGATGAATTTCCAATTTCATGCTAAACCTTACGCTCGTCACTTTCTCTCTGACACTTTTACAGCTATTGAACTGACACAATGTCCTTTGACAAAGGACTTCTAAGGTGATTCCTTCTGGCCTGGAAGGTACCTCCCTGCACATTTTGGAAAATAGGGATTACAAGATAGAATAAATGTATTCCTATCTTGATAACATTACCAACAAAAGAAATATAAGTAGAAACCTCCCAAGCCGGTGGAGTGAGAGATACCAAAAATCTGCTTGTTCTAGGTAGCAAACTTGTTCACTGGTGTTCCAGAGTTTGAAATACATACGCACACAGGTGCCCACACTCATTGCAAGAGGGAAGATGAGCCCCCTTGTTAGTGATGGGAGGGAGGTAGCCACAGTGATCTGTGGAAAGAGCACATGTGGTTGCTTTGAGACTGTTGCAAGTTTTCTTGGCTAGAAGCAGCTGATTGTAAATATTTATATGTGGATCTCACAGTGCAAAGCAAAGATGCTCTCAACTAGGAAGAACATTAAAGGTAATAGTTTCCCACCCTGATCTGGCAGTTGAAATGCTCACTTGCTGTTTTCAGTGAGAGCAGATAAGCAGAGGACCACAGTCCAAGGAGCTGTCCCAGGAGCTGATGTCCAGTGTGTCTCTGACAGGGCTACTCACTCTCTGGTGACAGTGAGAAGCAATCACTGATTCTTTTCCTCAGCCACCAATTGATATATGTAAATATGTGTATGTATATATATAT